GAGCCGCAATCTACAACCATCTGTGATCACAGAACCAGTTGCTCAGTTAAGTTTCAAAGGCGTGGGTTGTGTCAAAGAGATACATTCAGTATGTAGAGTAGGTCACCTTGGTGATGGCTTTGAAATACGTTCCAATTTCTGAATTTGTGGCTGTTGCATTAATTGGCAGTCAGGTTTAGCTGATGCATCCCTGAGTATGAGCAGTCTATCAACAGAGAAGAGGCACCATTTGGAGCCGATGATAGTTTGTAAACATTTGTAAGATTTCTGTGCATAAGCATAGAAAAAGCCTCATCAATTTTAAATACTCTGCTTCCGTTGCAGGGGACAATGCCAAGACATAAGTGGGTATCTGTTGATTTGGTTTTGCCTTCTTAGTAGGTTAAACGTTAGGCATGGAAGGTACTTTGTTAGATATTCCAGACAGGGAGTAATGACTGCGATGGTTTGTCAGTGGGAGAAAAGTTGTGTGTGTGTCTTCTGAAGTATTGATATGCCCCTTCTGTTTCCATAAAGTAGTCCTGTTAATAGGTAGCAGCATTCGAATGAGATGTGATTATGCAGTGCAGAATATGAATCCGAAGCGCACAGGCTGTGCCAGCTAATCTGAGTGTCCATTGCTGATGAAACTGCAGGCTCAGAGGAGCAGAGGAACGTGTCACGCTTGGTGCATGTACATGCAAGTATGTTTATATTGCTGCGCCTCATGCTGCTGAACACAGATGGGGCCTGTGTTCTGGCCAGGGTTACTGGTGGTAGAGGGCTGGGTCAGGAGGCTGTTCGTGAAATAGTTGCTTGCGTGTGCCCATGGTTTACATCCAGCACGGGTCAGTTCTGGCTCGGCTACAGTGTGACCTCTGTGAGGTGTGCTATGTTCTCACTGCAGGATGGCTGCTTGATTGTTCAACAGCTTGCTCTGGAATGAAATTCAGTCCTTAGCTTACATCTCGCCTTTCCCGCAGTGACTCTAGAGAACCAAGGATGAGTGGTGTTGGCATGTTACTGTGAGGAAGTGCTGTCCCAGAGGGGTGTGGGAGGATCTTCTGAAGGGCGAGTGATTAAAAACAAAGGAAAATTCACACTGCTAAATGGAAATGCTCTGAAAGCTCCAGCAGTCTTCTAACTACTTGTTTTGATAGCAGAGGTCAGGTTTGTAAATGTATTTAAGTACTCATATGCCTCAGTTCCTCATTTGTAAAGCAGGGAAGTACATATAATCCCATTTCAGCGGCTGCAGTATTATACTCCAAGTACTTAGAGTTGTGGATACCTTCTGCAATGTCAGTGAATATTGTAACTATCAAAAACAGTAATACATGCATTTAGAGTCGTTGGAGGAATGGGAATTAAACATAAAGATTGTTGACTTTCCCCTTCAGTAAAAGGGGAAACAAGTTGTGGTAGTTCTGTGAGTCCTAGTTTCTTCCTAGTTATTCTGATGTGCATGCAGCCCATGGAAAATACAAAGCAATTATAAGACTACAAAGAACTTTATTTTCGTCTTGCAATGTCAACATGTTGAGGAAAGCAAATGCTGCTTCTGAATTTCTGTGTAGCCCAGAAGGAAGACAACATTCAGTAAAAAGCTTTTTAAAGAGTAGCAGACTAGGTTGTTTTATAGGTAGGAGCATGAGAGGTTGTTTATTGATTCAGTTGAATCACGGTCTGAAGGAACCAAATTTAGACAAGACAATGAAGGAAGAAATTCAGTCCTATGGTACGTGGATGCATTAATGAACTGCCTGTCCATCTTTTGTGTTGTGCTTGAATTTTCTCACTGAACCACCTTGTTGAAATAAAACAAGAAAAGGCATTTGTTCTTTCAGGGTAGTTCATGTTCTAGTGCCTGTAACTTGCCCTGCTAGAACCTCTGACTTGTGAGTGTGCCTCTTGTCACCTCAAGACTGCAAGCTAAGAGAGTTTCAGATGCCTAAATATGCAGCTAGAACTGAAACACTCTGGTCAGCTAAGACTACACAGAATGAAAAATGGGCCAGCAGTTCACAGGCAGGATTCACGTGAAGAGGAAGCCCTGTTGAAGCTGTTTTTTGTAAGGGAAGCTGGAGGACTGACGTGAAATGTCATGGCAGGGAGCTCGCTCTGCTGTTCCCAGCCGCTGCGCGGAATAAGCATTGCTAGAAGGTGTTGAACTTGTCTGTGTGCTCCTTTCTGAACTTGTTTTGCGGGGATCGAGTAATTCCCAAAGTGTAGGGGGGAAGGATAGCCCCCTTTCCACAGTGCTGTTGTCAGTGTGAATGGCTGCCCTGTGTGTGCTGTCAGGACAAGAAAACCTTGAAAGGAAATAGGTGCCTACCATTAAGGTGAGTAATGGCTGAAGTTTAGGCTTGCAGTTTGTTGGGTGGTCTCAAAAATTCCTGTTTGGTTGCCTAGGTATCTTAAGGGTTGGGGAAAGGGCTTCATTTGTTATATGTGTGGGCATTGAGAACAATTTTTCTCGCCAGTGAATGGCAGGCCCCCCGAGGACTAGCAAAGATTAAACAAGCACAAAGATTCCACTTGCCTGGGAGAAAAGGTGATTGAATTAGGGATCAAGTTGGGTATTTGGTCATCAAGGAGTACTTTCAAGAAAATTCCAGAGGCAAAACCCAGTTTTGCTGTGGGTCATAAAGGAACTAGGTCAGGCTCCTTGTTTCTTCTTGCTCCAGGAATTTTCTTCGTGGCACTCTCAGCAGGAGGAATGAATCCCAGAATAAGACAGTCTCCTGGCAGATGAGAGAACAGAAATACTTTCTAATCTCTGATCTTCATGGGTGCCTAGAAGCTGCATCTCCTAGTTTGTCTGAAAGAAATGCACTGTCATAACTGAGATTTCCAGTATGTGATTTATCTCGTGAGGGCCTGTTACAGGCCTTTGAAGTAGCTGAAGAAGAGGGATTTGATTGGTTTCACATGTTCGTGCCAAATCCCACTAAGTAGAAGAACTTGAGGTTATGAGATGTTGTGGTAGATGTATTACGGATCCCCATAAATAATTGTCTGAAGAGCTACTTTTGCCTGTGGCTTCTGCTGACCTCCTGTTTTTCACACGCACCACCCCCTGTAATCTTCAGGGTTTGTGTGTGGTGGGTTTTTTTGTGTGTGGGGGTGTTTGGTTTTTGTTGGTTTTTTTTTTTTCCCTGGAGACACAGTGCTGTGAACTGCACCTCTGAATGATTGAGACCTGCCAAACCAGGTTTGTTTAAAATTCACCGACGGGTAAGCAAGCACAGACAAATAAGCTCTGCTTTGTTACCTAGTCTCATTTGTTTAGGAAGTTGAACTCTACTATGAAAAAAAAGAAAGAAAGAAAAAGAAGCAAGGTTGAGAAAAAAACTCTTTAAGAAATTTGGAAAAGCTTGGATTTAAGTTGCTCTGATGCTTGCCAGGGTTTGATCTGAGTCATCCTGTGTTTCTCATTGTTGGACGCAGTGGGAGGAAGTGCATACAGATTCATAGGCTTCAGTTTCTTATCTGTGTAACAGCAAGGTATGTTCAGCCCTCTCTGAGGTTTCAGGGTCAGCATTCCAAGTATCGTGGGATGTGATACCTTCTGTGAATTCACAGGTGTACAGGGATGGTAACTCTTCCATGTGGATGAGCTAGGTCAGCCTGGAGTCCATAGTGTTTGACTAGTTCCCAGAATATATGTGCATTCTGCAATGTTGTAGATGACTGAATAACCTGAATTCCTGTGCACCTACTAAAGAAAAGAAAATAAATCCAGAAACAGGTCTTCATGGAAAACTTCAGTGGGTCTTGAGCAGATCCAAGCACGGGGCTGATTCTATGGGGATTTTGCTGCAGGGAATGTGCACAAGCCAGGCTCTTGGTCCCTCCTGGTTTTCCTTGCCCAGCCCACAGCTGTGGCTTTCGGGTGGGCGGCCCAGGAGCCGTGGACAGCGCGAAGGCATGAAGGGCTGAATTCGCTCTGTACTCACGTGGAGGGAGGTGTGCCAGCTGCTGAATTACACTGAAATACACCCGAAATACTGCGGTGAAGTAGCACTTTCTTCAGGTGCTTTGGTTTTAGTAGGACAGCAGTGAGATTAAGGAGAATGAGCACTAGTCGTGTGTTCAGTAGCTTGTGCAGTCCCCTTTGAGTATTGTCCAAGTCGAATCATAGCACTTGTCCAAAAGTTCTTCCTGAAGCTGGCATTGAACGATATGGGTGAAAGAAGGGATCTTAAAACTAAGACATGGAAACCATTCACTGAGGGTTTGAAAACCCAGTTCCCAGGGTTTTTCACAAAGGCATGACCTTACTGATGTTCTGACCCTGGCACAATTGTAAATATATACATGATAATATGATGCAGATCAGATAATAATGCACATGGCTTTCCAGTTGAATATGAAGACCATGACTGCTCTCCTGTTTCTTGTAGTGATGAAGTCCCAGAAATAAAGATGATTCCTAAAATTTGCCCCAAAAATGTCCTGACGTAGCTTGTTTGGACAAGACAGAACTACTGATCTTGTTGAGCAAGATTTTTACTATTGCTGAAACCTTTTTGACAGCCATCCTGTATCTTCAATTACTTGAGAGTCACATGGAGGAAAAAGGCATTTTTGCAGGATCTAAAACAGCAAAAAACAAGCAAGTTCTGAGTTCCCATGAAATCCACCCTTGTTTATCCAAGTATTCTCAGTGTGTGTGAGAACAGGACTGTGCTCTGGATTTAAAGCCAACTCAAAAAGTGGATTGAAACAGGCTGGATTTACCCTACTGATGTTTTGTGGGGTTTTTGTTTTCTTCTGTGTGTTTATTGTTTGTTTGTTTGTTTTTAACAGCAGCAGAGTTGAAAAGGTGGGGTTTGTACTTCTTCAGCTTGCTGCTGTTTATTACTTACACTTTTATCAGGGATTGTAAACACCTTCTTTTATTCTTACTCTTCTTAAACAAATTTTCTGGGTTATGCCTTTAATTTTTAATTCTCATGCATTCCTTTTACTTCCTACAGTTCTTGTGTGGTTGGTGAAAATAAGGCTACGCTGCCGGGATGCAAGAGGAGCAACAGCCGGAGGTAGGGCTTGGAGCTGAAGGTGCTTTTTCTCAGTAGAATTGCAGGGGAGGTCAAGAGACTGAATCAGCCAGGTTCTTCCACTCATCCTCAGGGAAGGTCTGCAAAGTCAGGGGGTTGAGACTACCAGTGTAGGGGGGTGGGGGGGCTCAGGGCTATTGTTTTGCCACACTTAGGGGGTTCTTTTCAAGGTTGTTTTTCCTACAATTGCAAAAGCTAAAAAGGGTCTTTGGTATTAACTTACTTGGAAGTGAGGAACTACAGGAAACAGTCTAACCCATGAGCTTAAAGCTTCAGGAGGAAGAAATGTTTTGTGAGTACATTACACAAATTGGTTGTGTATGAATGATCTCACTGTACATAGGTTAAGTATCTTGCCAATTAAACTGAGGCGCTTTTCTCTACCCTTTCTGTTCCTTCTTCTCTTTTCAATCCATATCTATCTCAAAACCTTATTCTGGCGTAATAGGTGAAGCACAGGAGGTGTTTTTTCTTATGAGATGTAAGAATGTCTGTTCCTGTGTCCTGTTAAGAGTCTCCTCTTCCCTCTTTTTTTTTTTTTTTTTTCTTAATGTGGTGCTTAGTGCTTTTCCCACTGCAGTGCTGTAATGTTGTTAGGATGACAAAGCCAGCATAAGTGTCAGGATTAATTCCGTATGTTACAGATGGATACATTTTCCCAAAATATTTTTGTGTCTAGAGTTACGTATGCAAGCAGTGGAGTAAAGCCATATGCTGTGATCAAAAGCTGAGCTGCTGTTAAATTAGATTTGTGAATGTAATTGCAATTTGCAGTGTAATTGCAGTTTGCAGTTGTCCATGAACAGACTTGTGCTTTGTAGTGAAAAGATGATATGTTGCTGTGAATATCTTAAACTTTGCACTGTAAAGCTGTTGCACTTTTTGGTCTTACTCCATGAAATGTATGGTAAATTTTGCCTTGCCTTCAGTGGTGCCACGGGAAGACACCCAGGATTTATTATCTGAAAATTACTGCTTGGCATAATGGTATGCAAGAAGAAATTAATTACTTGTGTTGAAAGCTATGAACAATTGGAGGTGCTTTGTATGGTCCTATTTTAAATCTTACCAGGTTAAGTACAAAGCAAATAAACCAGTCATTCTAGCTAAAAAGCTGACATTCTTCAGGAGAGCTTGGCTGCCTGCTTGCTGACTCATTAATACTGCCTGTCATTTGGAAGGTACTTCAGCGATGATGGATTCATGTCCTGTCTCTAACTCTTTGACTTAATGCTGGTCAAGAATTTCGAATTCTCCCAATTATCATCCTGATTGATTTTTTTGAACTAATGTAGCTGCCTAAAGATAGCTTATAGTTGAGCTTTCCCTGATTTTTTTCAGTCTCTTTTCTGCACTACCTCTGGCTCTCTGTCTTGGATGACATAGGCTGAATGACTGGGATTGTTTGAATTCTATGCACAGGTTTTAAAACTTGCCTGTTAATTAAAAATAAGAAAGGTTTTGTTAGCCACAGACCTGCCTTGTATACTTCCAGTGATAATATTTGAAAGTCAGCCTTTGGGAATCTTTTCAGTTGCCTTCTGATCCTGTATAGAGAATAAAACTGTGCAGATGCTTTGCACCCTTTTGACTTTGATTTCTGATGTATGTAAAGCTGACATACGCAAAAATTTTACGAGATTGGGTGTGCAGATTGTGTGCAATCCCTTACACTTACTCCACCAGCATAAAATACTTGAGCAGGCTCTTCTTGAATGCATATGCATATTCTTGTGAGTGCTGACTGGCTTTGTCAGACTGGCAGACATGCTGACGGGTGGTTGAGTCAAATATGCCATCTTATAAATAGCAATGGTATCATAATAATCAGTGCACACCCTAGTTTCCAATGCAGAAAACGCTATACTAGTGTTAAAGATAAATTTGTTCTTTCTATTCTAGAATTGGATGCTTTTTTTTAATCCGTGTTAGGTATAAATACTGGCTTTTAAAATAGGCATGAAATAGTGTGGGAGAAAATGTACTAATAACTCACCCACCTAGGAGAAAGAGTTGTAAAACCACAGACTTTGAACTGTTGACACTGCTTAAATATTATATGTAGGTTCAAATCAATCAAACCCACAAGGGGAAAGATAAAGTAAAACATTTCATTGTAATTCCCAGCCTCCTTTTGAATTTGTTTCGTACAGGCTGCTGCAGATCCAATGTCCTCCTCTGATGCACCAGAAGATGGCCCAAAGGAAACATCAAGTGTATCGCAGAATATCTGTATGTTTCTGGTTTGACTGGGGAGGGTGTATTATGTTGGAAGTGTATTAACCTAAATATCCATGCGTTTTCCTTGCCTAATAAGGATGTGGCCGTTAGTACAAAAGGGAGATGCGAATGAGGTCATATCTGACTTAATCTGTCCGCAGTTTGTAGCAAAGCCCAGTTGCATCAACCAGATTTGGGAAGCACAGTGACACATCAATCGTCAGTTTGGTGCTCCCATGCTTTCAAAAGAAAGTAAATGGGTTTTGATTTAACAGATATACTTGAATCTTGCGTTAAGCTCAGTCCTTGCTCTCTAAGGCAGAGATGGAGAGGTAAGTTTGCTTTGTCATTCTGGCATCTGGCGTTGTGATGTTGAATCAGTTGTCCCAGGTGGCATACTTAGCCCGTGCTTGCATGATAATGTTTTGATACGAAGGCTAAGCCAGCAGGATGTGGAAATAGAAGTATTCCAGCCAAAACTGTCTTGTGAAGCCCAGGAAGAGTAACAGTCCTTACCTTTTAATGGTAAGGATGAGGTAATGACAGACACCTCTTCCTCTGGAGGAGAAAACAAAGGCTGCTCAGGATTTGCTTTGTGTTTATTGATATACCGTTGTGATGTTAATGTATACGATGCTCTTTTGAACAATAGGACCATTCAGATTGTGCTTTCTGGCAAATAATAGGCTGTGAACCACCTTAGGGCACATTAGCTGATAACAGCAACATTACTATAATGCTGAAGTTGCTGAATAATCCCTGGGGATCACAGCTTCCAGAAATAACAATCATGGGAGCAGAGCCCTGACTAAAGCTATGGGAAAAGCATTCAGACCTAAAGGAGCAGATTAATTTTTTATGTTGCTTTTTTTTCTTCCAGATACAGAAGTTGGTTTAATAAAGACTGTAGCTGCTCCTGAGAATGTTTTCTGTGATTATGTCTTTAAATGATAACATCTGGTCCTGCATTGTTAGAGCACTTTTTCTTCACATGAAACATTATTCAGTCCAGTTCTGAATATATGGAGGGAAGGTTTGAAAAATGAAATCCTTAAAGGGCTACTGAATACATAGAAACCACTTTCAGCTGGGGGAATCTGAGCCATCAGCTGCTTTAGGCTGCTAGGAGAGTATCTGGGGAAGGTATTGTGCACACTTCCCCATTCCTTATATTCTTCCTTAGATATCCTCTTTTGACCATTGTGGGAGGCAGGACACTGGCTTAGGTAGATTTTGGTTGATGGCTGCTTTCATGAGTATGTGACTGCTACAAATGCAGCAGCCCTAATCCTTTTAGAGTCATGTTTTCCTCACCCCCTCCTTAGCATCACCATCTGTTTTGGCAGCAAAATGGTCTTAGATCAGACCGCAGTGATTGCAACACACCATGTTCTTAGGTAGTGACCATGAAGTAGTAGGCTGCTGAAATGCTCGCTAAGAAGGATGTTGGAGGGTGGCTTTTGTTTTGTGGGGTTTTTTAAGATAAGATCTTGAGATAAATATTTGTGGGACAGATCTGGGGCCAGAGCCAGACAGTTAAACCGTGGAACAAATGAATGTCTGGTAGGAGGCTGTAATTTATTTGCATCTTTGACATCCTGCCTGCAAATGGTTAACTAACTTTTTTTTTTTCCCCCTGGGATTATGATCCTGTTCCAGGCTTCTGGACTGCTTGAGATATCTGCTAACTTGTGCAGCAGCTTGCCAGAGAGAGTTGGTTGGAAACAAAACTCTGCTCTCCTACTTGATATTTTTTCTTTTTTGCTAAGGTGCATTACAGCTAAAAGATGACTCACTCCAAGTTACTATTATTTCTCATTGATGTAAAACTGAAGCTTCTGTGTCTCAGTGAAGCTTTCTGGCATTCAACAAGCAACTCTGATGGAACTGATAGACCCCATTTTCCATGGCAAGCTTGACATAGATGGGCTAAACTCGCATTGTACCACTTTGGTCTTAAATAGTTTGTTGTTGAAACTAGGGAAGAATGATTGGTTTCCTGACCTGAATAACTCTTAATGTTTAATTTTCAATTGCATACTGATCCCTGGTGTGGTAATCACAGAAAAGGCTAAGATTGGTACTGTAGGCATCCTGTATGTGCCAATACGTGCAGGTGACCATACCAGCATACTCACACGAATGTGTGTGCGTGGTGCTGTCGTTTATACAGATAAAAACCCAGAAGGGAATGCTTTTGTTCTAGAATTAAAAAAATGCTCTTTATTTTTTTCTTCAATTTAGCGTATACCTTTTCTAAGTATCCTTTGCTTCTCTATCCACCTCACCTGCCACACAGCTTCTCTTTCAAAGGGCCAACCTGTCCCACTGTCCACAGGGTAGGATACCTGGACTGAGACCCATGCTTGGAGGCAGCCTCTCCAGTGGTGGCACTCTCAATGATGTAGCCTCAGAATTGAATGTAAGATTACAGTGGTAAATCAATGGCCTTTTAGCTCTGCTCTGCTGTTTAGTGGTGACATTTTATTTTCTGTTTTACTTACCTGCACTTTATGGTCTCACGTGCTTTTCTTTTCTGTTTTTCTTTAAATGTATAGCTGATGCAGATGCGTTTAAAATTCTCCTGGAGATGAAGATGAAGAAGAGGCAGAAAAAGCCTAGCTTACCAAGCACTGTGACTGAGCTTGACACTGAGGATGGTTCTAAAGTGTATGTGGTTGGAACAGCCCACTTCAGTGACAGCAGCAAAAAGGATGTAGTGAAGGTAAGCACTAAGCAGGAGCCCTTCAGCAGTGTGTTTATGGAGTTGTCAGCTCATCATTAAGTAGAACAAAGTCCAGCTCTCCACCTTGGACCTGCGCTGTAACCTCCAGACTGTTTTTTCTCGTTAGCTGTTGGAGGGCTTAACAGCTCTGTGGGATGAACTGAGAGGCAGACACATTATCTTAATATTTTGATGCAATACATTGCGCTCCCATCTCAATTATTTTTATTTGTCCTTAAACAACAAGTGTAGGTACAGTGCCAGTGCTAAAAGTAAAAGTTTCACTTGTGAAGCGTTGCCTGTTACAGTGTCGCGTCATGCTGACAGTGCGTGCTGTGGTTGTTGCATATGCACTGTGGTGTGGATGTGCTGAGAAGATGCAAATCCTAGACAGAAACTTCAGTTTACAGCTGCTCTGTGCCTGGGATAATACTGAGCTGTAAAACCATGCTGCTCCAAACTTGGATTCCACTCTCAAGATGAAAATAGGTCCGAAGCTCTGAAGTGAAAGTAGGAACTATATTTCATACTGTACCTCATGCAAAGTCTGCAGTTTGGAGTGGCTTTATTCTCTGTGGCTAGAGGAGAGGAATCTTGTACCAGAATCATTAACCCTGGTTCTTACAAAGCTTATTCTAACTCAAGATTACAGATGATCAGAGTATGGTCAAAGGAACTTTGTGAATGTGAAAAATGTAATGTCAAATCTTCCCCTCCCCTCCCCCTTACAATGTGTAAACCATCTTCCTGTCCTAAAGCATCCTGTAACTGAAGTGTTTCACTGTCGTCTTCCTTGATGTTTGACTCAATACACAGCTATTTGTAGAGGTCTTACTCTTTCACTGTGTTTTTTAATTGAAAATGATTGCTGCAATGTGGTTTTATTAAGTTCCTTTTCTCATGAAAGTCTTTAATAGTGGCTGCATTTCTGTTTCATACTTCCTAAACTGGTGTAAGTAAAAATCTTTTTCAGACAATACAAGAGGTGCAACCTGATGTAGTTGTGGTGGAACTGTGTCAATACAGAGTTTCTATGTTAAAGATGGATGAAAAGACATTACTCAAAGAAGCCAAAGAAATAAATCTGGAAAAACTTCAACAAGCTATAAAGCAGGTATGATGCCCACGGTTTGTGTTAAGAGCAGTTTGTCAGGTTACAACCACAACCAGTGTTTCCACCAGCTGTTCACCTAGGTGAGAGTACCATTACAGTGGCAGTGATAGGTTGTGGTGGGTGGCTGTTTTTTTCAGCTGGAGTACTGAGGGCTTCTATTCCACCACAGGATTGTTTGGGCAAAAAAAAACCTGAATTTCACAGTTGCTGCATTTGAAAGACACAAGTCTAACTTTGTAATTGTAATGCTCTGCTAATATATAGAAGTGATAATTATTTCTGTAGTCTGCATCTGTTATCACAGCTATTTGGGGAGCACTTTATTTTGGTATTGTCTGTGGTGATCGGTTTAGTTGCATTCCTTCATCCTAGCATGTTGCTCTTCCTTTTTAATTCTTATCCACTTGTCTTTTGAGTAGTTTCTAATAGACAGTAGGCCTTGAGGGAGGTTTTCCAAAAATCTATGTTGAAAAGTCTGGGATTCTACTTAAATTATAACTACTCTGGGGGTTTGAGGATGTCTGGGATGTGTGTGCAAGACAAGTATTGTCCTTTATTTTTTCAGTTTCACCCAGTTAGCCTGTATTTAAGTAGTTATAAGTTAGGCACAGTGAAACAGCACAAGGTTGACGTAAAAATGTCAGGATGTTTGATTAGAATGGCAGTATGTGGTCAGTAATAAGTTTTCAGTGTCCAATGAACAAATACATAGATTGTGATTTTGGTTGCGTGGTAACTGTATATTGGAATTGCTTCATTCATGCAATTGGGGAATTTCCAGGATAGGATCCCCTCATCCCTCATAAGATTACATCTGCATCCATGCAGAAGCACTGGCAGTGGCTAGGGGTTAGTCTATGTGTGTGCGTGTGCGCATAGTGTCTTAGTGCAGCCTTTCTGACTCAGAGTTAGGCAATAATGCGTCTTTCCTGTTTTCTTTATGTTCTATCAAAGGAAAGAACATTGCAAAACACTTGCATATTGCATGAATTACTGCATCCATCTGTTTATTTTAGGTAAGGTGGATTATTCTGATGCATGTAGCCAAAAGAATGCATGTTCACAACAACCAGAGCGGCATAGCTGGGGGTCTTCTGACATCACAAACGGGCACAGAAGCTTTTTTTAATTTTAAAGCTAAATGCATACGTTTTTGCTGTGCTTCTCTGTTAAGAGGAAAAGGACAATGAAAATTAAAAAAAAGTGAACTTCTCTGTGATGAAAATATGTTGGCAGCTTTGTAATTAACACTTCCTACCAGGGCTTTGAGTGATCTTTTGTGTAAACAGTAGGGAACAAAGCCAGAGAATAACAGAGATCCTTTTTATTGTTACAACTCCATCTTAGTCACCTTTTGTTAACAGGGATAATGCAAATAATAAACATTGGACGTTGTGCCTTCTAAATAATACATTTCTCTCTCTCTGTAGTCACAACCCAAAAACAAATCTCCCAATTTTCCCCCTTTGATTCAGTAGCAGCAAGGGTTATATAGGGAAATTCAGGAAAAAGTCTTATCTTTTTGTATTCACTTGTATAAATCTTAAGCAGTGAAATTGTATTTCCTTGTTTTTAATTAAAGTTGGAAATGGAGCAGGGTGTTAATGTGGAACTATTGCACACTTGCAGTGGGTCTCTGGTATTCAGAGTTTACTAAGCAACTGTTGCAGGTTAAAACCAGCCATCCTCCAGCCCCTCCTTGAATTTCAGAACCCCTAGTTGTTTGCAGAAAACTACCTGTTTGCTTTCCATTAAGCAAAGCGACACAGTGCAGGCTGGTATCTGGCTCAAATGTGGGTTACCTGAAGATGCACAGTAAGGGTTGGCTTAAACCAAACTGGTAAGACAAGTTTTGTCTTGTGTCCACACCTTGGCCCCGTGTTGGTCTGAACAGGGCTTGCTTTTTTAGCTGCATCATGTCCTTGTGTGGCTGTATGACTGCTAGTCCTGACACAGAAGAGTTGAGAAACCTTCTTCTGGGGCAGAAAAAGTGAGCTAGTGGCAGCAAAATCTTAGCTCAACCTCCCTTTTTAAACCTACTCCTTTAGGCTGAAGTTGTATGTCCAGGAACTGGAACCTGCAGTCGTACTTTCTCTTCCCCGTGCTAGTCATGGTGTCTGATCTTCCTCAGTCATCCTTTCCCAAGCCTTATGAGTAATATGTTTAATCTCTTCTCAATGTTTGGTATTTCTTTGCCCATTTTCTGGTTCAGATATCTTGTTTTCAAGACAGGAGCCCTCAAAAGATTATACAGCAACACACTGATGTTTCTGTTCAGTTCCTTTCCTGATAATCCCTCTCACTCTTCTTGCTTTGACTACAAGTGAACACTGGGATGATAAAATCAGTATTTTGCTTTCTCTCCTGTGTGCTAATAGCCCTGCATTCCCCTGCCTATGCAGTTCAGTTTCTTTCTACTTGTGCATTGCTTTGTGTTTGTGGCTGTTACACCTAACCTGTGAAATTATTGCCAGCCACTCAGGAATTAATGTTCCTTTGTGGTCAGTTTTCCTTTGTCTGACACTGAATAACCTGGTATTGATAATAAGCTCTTCTACTGTTTTGCTCCCATTGGGTTTTGTACATTTTGCTCTATCCTCCAACACTTTCTGGCTGTCCAGTTGTTGCTACATATGGCTGCTTGTCACCTTTTATCTCCTTGATGCTGGGCAAATATGGCAGGCACTGAGTTTTTTGCAGGTTAAGAGCAAAATGACTGAAGCACACTTCAAAGATGCATCTCTCTGTGAGCCAGCAGGATGAATCCTTGTCACAGTGTGAAAATGCAACTTGAGATGCATCAGTCCTCAAGGGGAGAACAACGAGCAAATAACCTCAGGCTGCATTATCCTAGTTTTCTTTGCTTTGTGGGCATCTTTTCTGAACTTCTGGAAACCCTTGTCCCTCGGGCTTATGAAAACTGGGTCTCAAGGATGCTGAAAACTCTTTTTCTCCCTGCCCTCTTTCTTCTTCCTTCTCAGGAGCCCAGTGCCCTGTCTTTCTGCCATGCTTGCTAGTTTGTAGCACGACAAAGCAGATAATCAACTGGCTTGGAAAATAGCTCCTCTCTTGCCAGTTCTGGTCCTCAGTGACTCTTGAGTCCACTTGTCTGCAGAAACTGCTTACAGCCTTTGGAGAGGTCACAGAAGCATCCCGTGTAACCTCATCTTCAGTGGCAGGAAGCTGGGGATATAGCAGGAAATTAACCTTTGGCGAGGGAAGGAGGAATGCCCCTTTTGGCAGTGGCGTGGACTGCTGCAAAATCGGAGGAGATGTGTAACCATGGTACAGGTTGTGCTTAGGGACAGGTAACACTCAGCCACTGAGCCTAAGTCGTAAGAGTAAGTGGTTGAGGACAACCAGAGCTAGACAGAAGGAACAGCTCTGACTGGATTTGAGATGTGTTTTTGTCCTTTTTGTAAAATGATAGGGAAGGAAAATTTTGCATAAATATATATAGGAGATTTTTTCTTTTTAAAAAGAAGAATCTTGATTGTAGATCTCTTGAAAAAGTAATAAACTGTGCCGAGGGCCATCAGTCTGCTTGTGGGAGTGAGTCATACTGTGAGGTCTTTTCTAAGGTCTTACGTGCTGAAGTCATGCACTGCAGTTCTTGCACAACACTGGATTCTATGTGTTTCTGCATCTGTTAACCTAACCAGTCCTCAGCCCAGTGTTTCCCAGGATGTTGGAAGTGTTAAGTGTTTATGGCTAGACCACCCCTGCAGTATCCCTGGAACGTGGTGTTCGATAGAACCACAATACTCTTGTGGTCCCTTTATTTTTGTAACCAGATCAAGAAAAAATTACATCCACAGCATGTGCTGTTCTGCCGTTCAGTTATTCGGTTTCTTCAAGCAGGTGGGGTAAATGTAGAATGGAGTAAGTCTGTCTGCCCTCCTCTCCTTTTTTACCTCTGCCATACATTTTTGTTGAAAGGGACAGTGCTTTGGCCGCATGCTGAAGTGAAAAGCTACGTCACAACTGGTGGTAGAACTGAAAAACAAAGAAAAAATAAAATTAAATAAGAGCTGTACTGATCAGTGAATTGGCCACAAAAGGTAGCTTCAGTGCTGCTTCTTCACTAAGATAATTAACGTTTTTTTCATGACTGCGAACTGTGCATTCTTCTGAGAAATCCACACAGGTTGTTCATTTTTTAAAAATGTTTTCCTCCTCCTTCTGCCAGAATGGAGTCATGTCTGGATTGATGCAAATGCTGCTTCTGAAGGTTTCTGCTCACATCACAGAACAGCTGGGAATGGCCCCAGGAGGAGAGTTCCGTGAGGCTTTCAAAGAGGTGCGAACTTGAAATGGTTTTTCTGAGGTCAAACTACTGGCCTTTTGCTCCCAGAGCCAAACAAAATAAAACCATTTGTTAGTGACTAGAAAAGAGCACTCTGGCTGCATTTGTGCTGAAGCCTGTGAAGTAGCAAGAGTCACATTTGGCTTCAAAGTGTACTCGAAAGTACAGAGGTTTGTAGCCTTAAGTGGCATGAAGGCAGCTCCAAAAAAGCTTCAAATGCTAAGGGTTTTCCTGGTAATATTTCTGATGGCATTTGTCTTAATTAAATTAATTATTTATTAATTTTGTTCCTGTTAATAATTGATTTTGAATTCTGGATGTGGATCCTGGTCCCACTTGGTGGTACCAGCGTTCCAGGCTGTGAAAACCAGCTCTAAAGCATTAATGAGATTTAACACATTCTTTTACAAAGATTGTCTGGGAAAGTAAAATATCTGACTGGTCTGTTGGTCCTATCTGGTCTTTTACCATTTTCTTTTGTACCACTGCCAACTGTGATACTGAGAAGTAAATATTAGCTGGACTTCTACTGTATATCACAACTACTGGTTTTGTGTCTGGGAATGCTGAGACACTGTTTTCACTGAATGCGTCCACCTTGCACAATGTATCTTGCTATTTTTAATGTAAATTAAGTACCAGTAAAGAAGTCTGAGATAACGTAGCTGTTAAAGAATCTGGAATAATTTGGTGTATTTATCTTTAACAAAAAACTGTTTCAAGGATTATTTTCCTGATCACTGCAGACCTATATATATATATATTCACCTAGGATTCATCAGGATCATTTATATATATATATTAATGATATATATATTATTATAGATATATATATAAAATAAATATAT